CTCACTGTAACTACAATGAGACTGGGTTTGGGACTTTGGATGGATTTTCCATCAACATTAACTTTCATGGGTGCCTCATTTACAGGTACGGTTGACATTTAGAAAAATTATAATTTGACTTATTCTCTCGTAAGCTCTAAAATATTCTGTTCTGCGGAAATAATTTAAAAAAATAATTAAAGCTATTGGCATAAAACTATCACAAATCATATAGATATTAAATGTATGACCTGGGCTACATACATGTTTAATTTTAATTATTTAGATTAATTAATTGTCAAAAAATGTGTGAACGTGTCACAATGTTTGTCTGCGATGAACTCCTAAACTACTGAACTGATTTCAATAAAATTTGCATACTCTGTGCAGTTTGGTCCAACTTGAGATATAGGATAGTTTTTATCCTGATAAGTGACACTCAACATTTTATTATTACGAATTTAAGGATTTTTTTTCGTCGTCCTCGAAAAGGGCAGAACGACGTCTGCTTGGTCAGTTAGTATATGTATATACAAGATTTCTCAGATGATTAAATGTTTAAGAGAAGTGACGTGCCGTGGCGGTAGGTATTTTGTAGCACCTATAGTTGTTCTATATTAGACGTAACACGAGCATAGGTGCTAAGTGAGATAGCGTGAAAATATAGGGATTTTATTACGATATTTAAACATAGCACACTATATAAAACTTGAAGAAAAGTCAACAACGATCACACAATTCCTTCCACGCAACTCCTTGACAAAATCTTAAAAATTCCAAACCAATCTTACACTTAGTGAAAGTGTAAAGCATAAAGAACAACTACAAAGTGTTATCCGCACGCTTACTCCCGTCCGAACCATTAACCGGTGAATTAATCAAGCCAACTCGAACAAAATCCTATCGGCCTCGTCGGATCTCGTTAGGAAGAGCCAACTTTTAATAATACAACAAAACAACCTAAGGCCACAGATAAGCCGCCATTAACACAGGTGCTTAATACAAAGAGACGTCTGATAAATTGACTAAACTAATACAAAAGCCTTTTCAATATTATATTACATAAACGTTGACAACTGCGTGGCTCAGTACCTAACCTAACCCAACCGTTGAGTCACGGGTAGTCCGTTCTTTTATGGGAAGATAATATTCATGCATCATTCAGTTTACCAAAATTCGCGAATATTTGGAAGTCGCTATGTTGCCAAGCAATCTGGTGAATTTCTCATATTTTCTATTTTTCTTTCTAAAATGCTTTTGCACGAGGTCTAAAATTTGCTGACCTAAATAATTTCAAGCATTTGTTCTGCGACCTATTTAATTTAAACTTAAAAGATTTAAAAAAAAATCTCATATTTAGATTACTTACGGAATAACCTCATAAATAGTTCATATTTAAGCAGCTCCTAATCTTATCTCATATCCAATGATAGAATGATCATTATTTTAATAAGACAATTTTACACATTGATTTAAACAAAATCCATAGAAACGGACTCGAAGCATTCTAATCAGACGGTAGATCACGCACCATCTCAGAAACTCGAGCGACGTCTTTTTTTTATTGTAATAAAAGGCAGTGGCATGGCGCCGCGTATCGAGCAAGCGTTATCTGTCCCGAACACAAACAGCACTTGTCCATTAGAAGTAATCGGTGATGCCACCAACACGGCCTCATTGTCTCGCGGTTTCCGAACTGGATTTCTGTTGTCCTTTTTACTCAGCGCTAGAACTGCTTTAGTTTCTTTTGCTGTGAATGTTGTGCAATATTAAGACATGAAAATATATTATTTCTGTATCAAAAATCCTTATCCAGATATACTGAATTTTATCACGAATTATAAAAAGTTACAATTTAAAAATCTTAGCGGACTTTATGTACTATAAATTCCTTTATTGAACATGTTTCCTGTGCATTTATAATGTATTGCTGTAAATTTATTTTAAAATACTAATAATGAACCTTTTTTTACAGTATATGGGTGACAATCGAGCACACAGTCTACCTGATAGTAAGTTATTGTGTCCCATAGACATTTACAACTATCCTCAATTAAAACGCTAAGTAAGTCTGATACCTTTGATGAAATGCCTCGTTATCATTATAGGAAGAGAGCCGGAGACCCTTTTTACATAGAGTCTCCAGTTCTCTACACCCACTATACGAAACACTGCAGCATATTTTACGCTGGTATTATATGAAAGCTTCAGACCAATACATTGTAAAAATAGGCAACGTTACGATATTTATTTATTGCATGCTCGTTTCTTTGTATAAATATCTGGTGGAATTAACCTTAGAAAATACTAAACGTATATGTGCAGAAAATAATTATACATAGATCAACTTGAAATTTATTTCACTAAAATAAATTATCACCTTAATAAATATCCATTACCACTACCATTACAGCTTCTCAAAAGTACACAACTGAACATATGTAATGTAATATATTGCTGATAATGCCGTAGTTGCCACGCTTGGTGAGCGGGTTGGCAACGCCAGTTTTTTTTAATATAAGTTGTTCTCAAGAAGATACACCATATGCTGTTCCATTTCCCTCTTCACCTCTTATGACACCCAACCAGTGTAGTGAATATTCTTACGCCGCCGCTACACAGCATATAAAAGCACTAGCTGTGCCCCGCGGTTTCACCCGCGTATATCACGCGTCTACGCCTTGCGACATGCGACATTTCTACATTTTGATTTGTAATAGAGGATAGATGTAGATGTCTATGGGCCGCAGCAACCACTTACCATCAGGTGGACTGTGTGCTCGTTTGTCACCCTTATCCTATAAAAAAAAAATGCGAACTTCGAGAGAGACATCACGACGGACGGTTGCTGAATTAACAAAGATGTGAAAAAGTGAAATAGTTACTGTAATAGTTAAACATATGGTATCGCAGGCTTTTTTGTAGATATTGATATCCTCTATAAAACTGAAGTACATTACTTTGATCTATTATCAATAGTTTCCGCAGCGTACGCGATATAAGGATTCTTTTTGGTAATTTTTCACACCTTGGGTTACATTAATGAAGTTTTCATACGGATCCCTAACTTTTTTGAAAATATTGTATAGCCTATGTTTATCAGGGATAATGTCGGATTCTAATGGTGAAAGAATTTTTCAAATCGGTCCAGTAGTTTCGGAGCCTATTCAATTCAAACAAACAAACAAATCTTTTTTCTTTATAATATTATAGTGTAGATTAAACAATCAGTAAATCCACAATACCGGAAAAGATCCGACATCGAGACGGTAATTTATAACATTATTGATTATAATAATTGAAAATGCTAATTGTACAACTTTAAAAGTGATGAGGCTGTCGCTCGTAATTTGATCCGTGATAAGATAAAACACATGGTAATCAGGTTTTAGGGTTCCGTACCTCAAAAGGAAAAAACGGAACCCTTATAGGATCACTTTGTTGTCCGTCTGTCTGTCTGTCTGTCACGACCCTTTTTCTCAGGAACGCGTGGAGGTATCAAGCTGAAATTCATATCAAATACTCATGTCTACTGTCCCTTGGAGCTGTGAAAAAATCAAACTTCTAAGCCAACGCAGTCAAAAGATACAGCCGTTTATGCCGCAAATTTTCGACATTCGCAAGGGAATGAAAACCTACAGGATACGTCCCGTGAACTCAGAATCTTAAAATTTGGTACAAAGCAACGTATTATAGCACAGATAAAGGAAAAATTGGGAAAAGCATAAATTTTTAGTTACATCATATAATAAGAATATTATTAATAATTTTAAACTTATATACCTACGGATTTGTTCGGAACCCTCGGAGCGCGAGTCCGACTCGCGCTTGGCCGGTTTTTTTTAAATATAATAGCGTCTATTTCAGTACCATATACATATTAATGTTATTTTAAAGTCTATTAAAATAAATCGGGCATTTAATTAAGGGATAAGTTATGTTATTCGTGATTTATTGATAAAAAACACGTTAGAAATCGATAGAATGTTCAATTATTATTACCATCGAAATGAATATAGGTTTAAAAATACATTTTGAGTAAGTACTTATTTTAAAGTTGATTTTACACATACCTACGTCTACAAAGAGAACTGGATATTTATAACATTATTGACCTTGATCTCTAATTAGTAATTACTTTCAAGTAACTTGTACGAGTAACTAACAGTAAATTGTGTACTGGCCACCAACCTCCTCCCATTTTGAAAGAATTTTGTAGCAAGAAGGTAGAGTTAAACTTGTTCACTTTTCATTTATAACATAACCAAACTTTTACTTTAAAACGTAGACACAGAAATGTTGATTCACAGAATAACGTAAGATTTTTTTTAATTTTACGATATGTTTCTATTTATGACCAGTCAAAGAAAATAAAATTAGAAGAGTTTTGCTTTAAATTACGTGCCTCCAGTATGTATTTCACAAAATTAAATTCCATAATGACGTAGCTTCTAGAATCTACAATAAAAAGATATAACTAAGCTATAAAATTCTATCAGTAAGTATAAATCTGATATCCGTCTACTTAGTTGTCTACGATGCCCACACTTATCTTAATGATGAAGAAGGCCGATATAGATAAACTGACGCCTCAAAAGTTTAAGCAAATATATTCAATACGAGGTATTTGAAAGCATAAATCTGTTACAATTGAAAGAGAGAGAGAGAGAGAGAGAGAGAGAGAGGGAGAAGAGAAATAATTTATTTATTACATGATTCAAGGTACCTCTACCATTTTAGTAATAAGACCTATTTTATGACACGTAAAATTAATAAATTTGGAAACTCATTTTAAATTTATACTTTTTAAGAGATTGCTTCTTACATATTTTTTGCGATTTGTGATGGCTGCTGGGATAAATGACAACTAAACGGCAGACGGAAGAATCAATTTCTAAAACATTGGGCCAAAAATACACAAACTCTAAACTTGAAAAATTCCGACGCTTAAAGTCAAAATTTAAGTTTGTAAATAAGTGTACAATGACGACATCGAAGAAATGTTATTTGAAAGCTCTCACCTCCATTTCGTCCGTCGGTTCTGAAACCAGGTCTTGACTTGTGCGTCAGTCATTTTCAAAGTCTTAGCTAACGAGGCCCGTTCTGCGGAGGCAAGATACTTTTGCTTGTGGAATCGTTTCTCCAACTCGGCTATCTGCAGGCGGGTAAACGATGTCCGAGGTTTCTTGCGTTTCGGCGGTGTTCTGTTTTGATACGGGTGCCCAATCCGCCTTGTAATTGGGAATGATGCTGAAAAAGAAAACAATTATTAATATAAACACAATGTTGTCTTATTGTTGTTGAGCAAGTACGGGTGAGAGTACAAGAGAGCATACAGTCCACATGATAATAAGTGTATTACGCGTACCATATATCATATATACACCTAACCTCAGCTTCGAATAAAAATGCAGGTTACTGGAATGCCTCATTACCAGAATAAAGGGTCGCCATTTACACTTATCATGAAAAATTGCAGCATTATGCTGCTAGCATTATGTTTATTGGTGCTTCAGTCATAATATATCTGCAGCGTGACTCTATTATACATGCATTACATTTATTATATTTTCTTTATTATAAATGTAAATTATGTAATACCCTTCTCTTCATCTGAGAAATAATGACATAAGAAAGAGTAGTTACATAAAAAAGACAAAAAAAAATGCTTATACTGAAAAATTGAAGTTTGAAGTGTTGATATTTTTTTGTTATAGGAGAGGGGGCAAACGAGCATGCGGCTCACCTGATGGTAAGTGACTACCGCCGCCCATGAACAACCGCAACACCAGGGGAATTGCAGACGAGTTGCCGGCCTTTTAGAAAGGTGTAAGCTCTTGTACGAGGAAGAAAACTCCTAGTAAAACGCACAGTTGTGGACCGCCAAGCATCCAGATGGTGAGGATGGTATCGTGAATTTTGACGCGATGTGCATTTTTATTTTATTATATAATAATTTTCTTGTAATTTCACTTGTTTTTGCAATTTGTTCAAATTGATTTCACTATATAATTCAGATCTAAGGATTATTTTGCAATAAATTTTTTTTGATGATTTATAAATAATTACATCCGTGTTTAGGTATGTAATTACATCCGATTTACAAATTTCGCCTTACATGACGATAACAAACGATATTATATGATGGATTTTGTAAACCATGACACGACTAGTACACTATTGGTTTGATAATATCAAACCAATAGTGTACTATCATTTTTAGAATGTTAATATCATTTTTAGATTAGCATTAAAAATGATAAACGTTAAGGACATATTTAGAGACTCTACGTAAGTAAACGACGGGTACCTCGTTTAGGGCCGGGGTAGCATCAATGGCGCCTGAATTCTCAGAATAACTTATATTTGCGTCTTTTACCCAGTAAAAGCGGAAATATAAGGCTATCAGATATGACTATATATTTGTACCATTTGCATATGCTGTTGATACGCGTACGTGGTAGTTTCTGTATCTACGACTATTCGTCTTACGTTGCTGATTATAATTATTGAATTAATGTTATGAAAACATATGAACAAAAAAGAATATACAAGAAAACAATGCACATAATTTACTTTTAAAAACAATAATAAAAAAAGAAAGAAAATACATTCTTTTGTGAAAATATTAATTATTTATTTATGTAAATAAATTGGTAAGTATAAAATATTTTTACATATAGATATATTCACAAATGATTCGAATTCAGTAAATTATTATGCTGGTTGTGAACACCGACTTTGGTCTTCCGTTAGGGCCATTTGGTATTGCCTCGGATACTCAACAGCATGATTAAAATATAAAGAAGTTAGTTAGGTCCCACGCGGGGCTATCTGCCTTAGTTGTCACGCTTAGCATGCGAGTGGTTGCCAACCTTGTTTAGATATAATTAGGCAGACGTTACTGCTCGTCACTTGGTCTGTTTTCCTCTGTCGCCTCTTACGTCACACACGGCACGATATAGGGTAGTTGTTATTTCTACACCGACACAACACTTCAGTTTAACTAAACCAAGCAAAAAATCGAATACAATAAAAAAATTAAACATAAAATTAAATTATTATTCAAAAGATTTACTGAACGTGTTTTTAGCCACAATTTATTTAAATTGGGCACAAAACACCGCTACATTAAAAATCATAAATAGGTACCTATGATTTTTAATCTGGCGCCCATGCGTTCTTAATACAATATTTTGTAAATATAATCTGTACATGTAAATGTCTTAAGTAATGTTCAGTAACCTCTTCCAGCCAATCACATTACAAACGGATAATTTGAGATTTATTAAGGATGGAACATTATTTTATTAAGGATGGAACATGATTTGATTTTTATTATTAGGATGGAACAGAGGATTCAACATGTTAGGATTATAGCCAGTAGCATTAAGAAAAAAAAAACATATTATGTTACTTAAATAATGTTTTTTTTTTCTTCGTATATTGAGCACACATCCTGTCTATTTATCTATTATCCAGAAAACTATCATCTAGGGTCTACGGAAATTTCATTGACAGTGGGTTAGTAATGATCAAGAAGAGAAATGTATGAAGTAAGGAAACTTTAATTGCAAACCGAAATATTGATGCAAAAATGTGTAAATGCGTACAAGCATTTACAGAAAGCCCCCTAGATCTTTTAAAGATCTTGGTAAATATCTTGACAAATATCTGAGATTATTATAACAATGATGCTACTATAAAATAATAGCATATTATTTATAAGTCGTAAACGAATGCTATAAATTCATCGATATGTACTACGCACTAGATTTCGCATTCCGAACATTGACTATGTTCAACTGAACTGTACTGCAATCCGTGCACTAAACTAAATATTGCGTAAATTGAAGATTTGTGAATTCCAGATAATTATTATTAAATTTTATTTATAAATATGTTTGTTTAGATTAAAATAAGAGTATTTTATATTAGTATTTTATATTAAATTCTTATATTTATTTTATATTAAATTAAGTCTTCGCGCATGCGCGACACTACTATCTCCCGCGCATGCGCGAAGACATAGAGCAGCGCACAATTTTGTTTGGTATAGCTTCTCTAGTACTTAGTACATATAACTCAATGTATAAATTCGTCATAGAAAATTTGATTTTCTAGTAATGGAAAAGATTAAAATCTCTCATAATTTCATACACTGAAGATTTGAATAAAGAAAAAAGAACTGGCCAGTTCTTACTCAAACACAAGCGTTCTTTTATCAAATAATAACATCGCAACAATTACGCGAATGACTCAAAGTCTTACCATATATTTACTCCTTATCTTAGTAATTGAAATCACGGCATAATCGTCTCGAATACATGCTCGAATACAAAATGTCATGAATAAATAAAAATCTCATTAAAGTTCTTCAGAGCGCAGTGCACGCCGATTACTGAACGCTATGAGGCACTGTAATCAAAAATTTTCCATCCTTAATAAATCTCAAATTATACGTTTGTAATGTGATTGGCTGGCCGAGGTTACTGAGCATTACTTAGACATTTACTTGTACAGATTATATTTACAAAATATATATTATATTATCTTATATGTAGCTATGTATGTATTATTTTTATTTATGGTATTATTTTATTTTTATTTATAGTATCATTTAATATAATTTACGTATGTTTTTGTATATTATTTACAGTAGTATTAGTATTGTACGCACTAAGTTTGCCTTTTTAAATTTATTTTCCTTTGTGGGTCTACTGGAAGATATTTCAGCAAATTAGAAATAAGTAGAACCTTTGTACGAACTCACTATAAGACTGTTTCTATATCTTGTTGTGTGTATATAAATAAATAAAAAAAAATTGTATTAAAAATGCATGGGTGCCAGATTACAAATCATTTTTATGATTTTATGCTACAATTTATTTAAATCATTTTTACGTGTATAATAATATTATCCACTCCTTCTTATCTCAAGGACAAATTTCAGTATATTTCCTCAACTCGTGATAGAAGTCTGCGTTCCTCATCTGATAATAAAATAAATATCCCACTATTTTTCATTATTTTTGTTGGTAAATCCTTCACCAGTCTGTCTGCACTGCTCTGGAACTCCTTGGTCGAAGACGTTAGAAAAATATCAAATAAGACTGCCTTTAAAAAATTGGTACGTGAACTCTTTATGAAGATATCATATGGTATAATAACAGTAGTTTTTCTGATTTAATATAATGTTAATTTTAGTTTTGGCACCTATCATATTAATTTCCACACGTCCCGGGTTGACTTGGAGAGAATGCTAAAAGGCAATAAGTCCGTCCTTTGTAATCTTTTTTATTAAGGTGTACAATAAAGTGTAAATAAATAAATACGTATATATAAATAAATGCCTTTCACGTGGTAGAGCCATGCTGTAGCTATATTGGTAGTATAGTTGTAGCACGAATGGGTCGGCTCGACCGGGGAAGGATCACGCTCTCACAGAATACCGGCTTTTTCACTGGAAAAGAGGCATTTCATCTTAGTCCTCACAGGTGATAACGCATCTACATTTTGAATCTTTATTGAGGATAGATGTAGATGTCTATGGGCCACAGCAAACACTTACCATCAGGTAGACTGTGTACTCGTTTGTCACCCATACTATCAAAAAAATAAAAAAAAATAATCCTTCTTCTTCATCATCATACCCTAAAAGTCCACAGCTGGATATGAACTTCTTCCGGCGTAGGGAGAATTTGCCTTAATCGTAACGCTTGGCGGGCTAATTGACGATCGGAGTACCAGACGTCTCGCATCCTTGAGGCTGCTTCCCGACCCGGTGTGGGTACTTTAGGTCCAGCATAAATGATTAGTTATGCTATCTATCAGGAGCTATCTAACTTTTCTAATATTTATCATAGTCGACAGTCGAGACCACGAGATGAAATGGGGCAATGGACTTTTTTTACGCTGAAGACGACACGGCAAATGTTAATTATAATTAAAAATAATTAAATATCAATTTAGAAATCTTTTTCTTCTTCATCGTCAGTCAATAATTCTTTTCTGGATATGAGCTTTTCCCACTGTAGGTTTCCGTTACAAGGAGAATTTTCGATAATCGCAATGATATCGCATATTTAAGTTGCCGGTTCGAGTATTTGCATCAACTTCTGTCATTTTTAAATATACTGTCTGTCTATAGCAGTCTATGTGGGTTTTTCTGACAAAATGAGTTAAAGAATTCTCATGGCAAAAAAAATAATTTTTATATTTCTTTGGACCACTTGGAGTGCAATATTCCG